TTATGATAGTCACAGAACCAGATAATCATAGAATGGTTTGTGTTGGCAAGGACCTTAAGTTCATCTAGTTCCACCCGCCTGCTGTGGGCAGGGACACCTCACATTAGACCATGTCACCCAAGGCTCTGTCCAGCCTGGCTTTGAACACTGTCAGGGATGGGGCATTTACCGCTTCTTTTCATTCTCTCAAAGATCTTCCACATTTATAATACTAACATAATTACATGGGTACGCCTATTGCCATAATTAACCATCTTGTGGTTAATTAATAACTATTCCAATAATTAACCATAAGATGTCTACATTACACTTATGTTAAAATTAATATATATCTTTATATATAATGCATTATAAGATCGATAGATGGATAGATATCAATATACCCATAGAAGTGCCTTGTAACACTGGACTTCATTTCATCCATGGACCTTGTATCCTTCCATGGATACAAGGGTGACACAAAACACACCTACCCCACAAATACGCACTACATGCTTCAGCATTTAGAGTCAACATAACACCACTGGCTAAAACAGGATACAAATTCCTTTGGCATTTCTAGCTCTCTATTTTGTCTCCAGAACTGTACCACAGATATGCTCTGCACATTATTAAGATACTAATGTTATTACTGAACTTAGCAGATACTGAAACATAGAGTATATATAAAACCACCTATCATATACGATTAAATATGCATATATTTACATACACAGTATGCACAAACAAGCCTTAAGAACAGTTTTCAGATCAAGTAAGTTTTAATATAAAAATGTGTTTTGTCTTGCCAGGAGGAATGAACATCTGATTACAGATTAACCCTTTTTATGTTGGGCAGCACCAACTAGCCCAAAATGAGATTTTAAGTGGATTGCTAGCCATGACTACAGTCACAAACAAGCAGGTGAATTTTAAACCTCTTTAAGAAGAAACACAGTTCCAGTTATCTGCAAATCCTGATCTATGATCAGTAAGCAGCTGAACGCTCTTGATTAAACACATACATTGTAATTTGATGAGAAAATATACTTTCTACTATCACTTCATGCTATGCTCAAGCAAATGGTCCAGGCCTTCCTTACTGTTAGCCAATCAAAACTTGTATGAGACCATATGATAACATGACTGACAAGACAGAAGTTATTACACAGATTAATTCTAAGTAAAGAAGGTGAACTGTTTGCACACAATACCATGGTAAACACTTCTCTGCTCACAATATAGGTCACAGTACATGCCAATGTAATTTAACACTTCTTTGCCTAGCATTTATGTGGTTCCAAATACCAAGAAGAAAGCAAAGCTCTCATCCAGTCAAGCCAGCAAGGAAAAAAAGCTTTCAGGAAAAAAAACCAGGCAAGGAACTAAAATTCTAACAGCACTCCTACAGGGATCACTCCAACATATATTCCCCAAACCAGCACATTCATTAGAATGTTCATTCATTCATCAGGTTAGATTAACAAAAAGATACTCAGTTCATTCAAACTACCATTAATTGCTTTGAGTTCAGAACTGAGTTCCAGGAAACCCTTGTGCTGCATGTAAAGCCTCATTAACCGCACCTAAACAGGTCAACTGGGGGGGGGGGTAATTTAATCAACAGAAGGATGTAAAGTGTTTCAGTTCTTCATACATACTTCACTCATCAATGCTCTAACAGCTAGGAAATAATACTGCATTATTTTCCAAATCTGGTCTCTGATTTTTAAATTGCCAGAAAAGCACTTTCTAGAGGTTGGGAAGACTCAGTGCATCTAAAAAGTTCTCTGTTCTACACTACATTAATTCAATCACAGCACCACAAAGACAAATGATAATTTTAAAAAGCAGAGAAAAGTAATGTAAAATAAAAAAGGAAACATACATTTTGCATATATAAAATATAAAGGAAATAAAGTAGAAATTCATAGGGAAATACATGGAAACTACATCATTATGACAGCTTGTTTACAAATAAAGCAAAATACTGAATATTCAATAGGTAGGGTAAGTAGCTTAAAAAAAAAAAACCAAAAACAAAACAAAAGGCTTTTGTAACACTGCAGCCCTTTGGCTAACTATGAACATGTGCATGATTAGGATGTGCATCTGCTTAGCCCTAAAGGACACTGAACTGTATTGCAGGGAAAGTCAAACCAGAGCAAAAAAGCATTCGAGTTAGAGGTAATGATGGTGAGACCTGGGGAGCCACGTGGCCCTCAGTTTACTGCAGAACATGCAGGTAGTGTAGAGATCAATCAACAGCTGTGTATCCTTTCTTCACTATGAGAAGCTGCATCAAAGACACAGCCCAGCTACAAATGTGCTTCACTGAGGTGGACTGAAGTATACACAGACAAAGAGCTATCCTCATTCCTTTCACCTTTCAGTCAGCCATTGATTTTTCATAGAAAGGTCTTAGGTACCCACATTCAGACCTGGTTACTAGCAAAGACACACTATGCAAGACAGGGCTAAACAACACTCCCAAAATGACTGTCACATACTAATGAAAACTTATCTAACCAACACAACACCCAGTTATGGCTTTTTTTTCTTACAACAAGTAGATGATTCATTGCTAGATAAACAGCAACCACTACATACTGACCAATCTGGAGCCTTTCCCCTCCCCTCATTTCTCTTGACACGTAACTTTCCTTTAACTGATAAGATATTATAGTCTGCAAGGAACCTGCAGTCTGTACAAAGAGCTATTATTTTCTGAGGAGAAACTGTTAAAAAGCAAGATTTTCTCATTATTACACAAAGGAACTTTATTTCTTTTTAACTAAAGGCTTTTCTTCTCCCTACCCTTCCCCCAATGCCAATTCACTCACTTTCATTCAGCAACATGAGGGAGAATTCACCAGAAGCAGCAGCAGCATGACTTGGCTCTGAAACAGCTAGTTTATTTTGCTTCATATTAATAGAGTTGCACAGTACTAGGGTACATCTCAAGTACTGCAGTGCTGGCAGTGGAACAGACAACTTTCAGTTACAGCTTTTCCAAAACTTTGCTTTATAAAGCCAGTCCTGTACGTTCAAATACAAATGGGTTCTTATTAAATTGAAAATACCTGGAGTCATTCCTTCACCCTCTGCAACTCCTGTTGCTCCCATCCCACAGGTAAGTATAAACCAAAATGTACCAGCAGCAAAGAAGGGTGGTAGGTCTGCCTGGGACTCACATCAACAGAACATGTGATACTACCAAGGGGCTCCTTCTGAAGATTACACTCAAAACCATAGAGATTATCCCAGACTTAGATGTGGATACAGATGTAGCATAGCCAAGGATTTATTGGTTTGGGGAGTGTATTGGAGGGATCCCAGTAGGATTGCTTGTAGAATTTTATTTCCTCAGGTTTTTTGTTTTACCTGAAAGCTTTTTTTCCTTCATTATTTGAATACATGCAATTTTTGCTTTCTTCCTGATATTTGGAATCATGTATAAACACTAGCCAGGGGTATTAAATTTCATTGGCATGTACTGTTAGCTTCTGTATTTGAACCAAACCTATTACACATTGCAGCAAAGGGAAAACTTGCTCAGACTCATCCCAGCCTCTCACCTGTTTACAAGCCATATGGTAAAGCTCTTGGCACCTCTGGCAGGTAAGCACACTGACACAGCTTTTGTGAATCTGAGACTTTCAGCTCCAGGCTGCAAGAGCTCAAATCCACTGCTAATTGACAAGCAGTTTTTTCTACTCCCAACCTCAAGGCCTTTCCCTTCAAAGTACTGATTCTCTCCCAGTACAGCACTTTTTACACTTAACCTGATCAAGAAGGTCTTCAGGCAGTTCCGTCACCAAGCTGGCTTTCTTCCAATAATACTATTTCTCCTAAGTTGAAAACAACTAAAACCAAAGAACTTCAGAACTAACAGCCAGAAGGACAGGCAGAAGTAAGTTAAAGAAATATGTATGTAACTACCACTCTTACAGTGACAACTGTAATGCTGAACAAGTGAGATATTTTCATTTAGCTGTTCATCTGCAAAGTCTGCAGTTTAGCTCAGGAAACGGCCACATTCCTTCCACATCCAAATCTCTCACCTCCCTCTCAAAGCCTCAGAGGTATCCTAATGTGTCTGGAGAATATAGGAGGGAGGAAGCAGGAGAAAGAGAGCCATCTAGAACTAGGAAGGGGTGCAAACACCTCTAAGTGAAAAGTGACTATGCTTCAGATGAAAAAATAATGGCATTCTCTTACTAGCAGGTGAATCATGCATACAGCAAGAAAAGACTGGTTTATTAACATGGAATTACAGGAGTTGAACATTAACCAGCCTAAATCAGTACAAGGGATTAAAACCCCTATCCCAGGACAACCTGCAAGAAGGAAACTATTGAGTTCTCACAAGATTTAATTCCACCATAGGTATCCCATGGAGAAGAGGCAAGTATGCTCAGTTCTACACAGTAAGGGGGAAGAGTGAGGGAAAACAGTAGTAAGGAGCAGGCAGCAATGCCACAGGCAGCTGAGTCTCTGCAGTCTGTGCATCCAGAAGGACAATCTCTCTATTGTTTCTCAAGTGATTAGATGAAGGACTAAGGATTAGACAGAGCATAACGCAACTGGAAAAATTAAAGAAAATAAATAGATGGTTGCTCTTGTGATTTTTTGCAAATTAATGCAGAGAAAACCTTCATGCCTCAGTGAGTGAGGGTCACGCACATTTGGAGGCTGAATGCCAGAGGCATCTGTCACCCACTGTGCACACATCACTCATGCTCCTCAGAGAGCCTCCACAGGCACTGCCTTATTCTGGAACCTGCCTGAATAGCACAGTAATAAAAGCACATCATTAAACAAGCCCAATTACCTACTGCAGCACCCCACTCCCCCACAAAAGCTGGGAACATTATTGTACAAAGGAAGGAAATAAACCAAGGTAAAATTTATACTTAGTCCAGGGGGGATTCCAGAAATATGGATTCCTAGAAACTTTAACATTAAGTTAATTTCCTTTACACAGCAAGAAAGTAAATAGCACGTCATATGTTACTCACCTCTGCAGGAAATGCCCTGGCTATCAATTACTTGTTTGCAGATTCCACAGATTTTGGATTTCTTAAAAGACTTGGCTTTGAAGGTGTGAGACCTTGAAGCTGTTTCTTGAGGCTGGAAGCAAAGGGAATAACATTAGACCTTCCTTCAGCTTTTGAGTCATACTTTAAAGTGAAATATAGATAATTTAAAATTAAATAGGATAGTAGTGTGGCAGCAGTATAATAGCAGCATGTCAAAGCACTTTCGCTCCCTCTCTCACCCTCTTACTCAGTAACATGAGCTTTCCACTCTCAAATGTGGGAAGCAATAGTGTGAAGAAACCTGCATATCAGCACACAAACACTGTAAGGCATTTTTATATCATAATTTCAGAATTCACTCCATGACTTATCTTTTAAGAGGAAATACAGAATACTCTCTATGATATAAGCCAACAACATTCTGACCTTATGTCTTATCTACACAAAAGCTTGCACTTGTTCAGCTTAAACTGGTTAAACAAAACGTAAGTAATGCTCTATCACAGTCACCAATTTAACTCATCTGGTGCAGAAGACAGCTTGGACTTTTCATTCAACAAATGAAAAGCATCAATGCAAGCTGACTCTGGCACAGATGGCTAACTTTAAAATCACTATTCCTTCTTCCCTGTGTAAGAAAAGTGTAGTAGGTTTAAAGTAACATTGTTTCAACAGTATGTCACAGTGACATCATGTTAAAATAAGGCAATAATGGCAAACAGGGGAAAGAACTACAAAAGTCAATACTATATATGCAAAGGGTATTATACGGCTTCTATAACTTAGGAAATATTTAGTTAACAGAGGGGGCTACCAAAAGATTATGACAGAGTCAGTAGTTCCTCTGGTAGGATATAACAACCTTTACTTTTACCACCAGGCTTTTTGGAAATACTCAATTACCTATACAAAAACAAAAATATCTTTTGCCAGACCACAAAATCCACAAATGACTCTTCACATTCCTCATATTCATTGCACATTTCCCCCTCACTGTCCATATACTCAGCCCTGAAAATGGGCTCACCTTCAACACCGTAACACCTGCGCTGAGCTTTGGCAGCACAAGTGCCTAGAAGCAGAAAGCTGTCCCTCTGCATGCAGTCAGGCTACTCCACCACAGCACCAGGCTTCCATCCATCCACTGCATGAGAAACCTTCCCAGTGTGGTGCAACACACACATCTACTGCAATAAAGTAACATGGCACATATTTGTGGCTTTGAGCAATTCAACACATGGCTCAAGGCAAAATGTGACTGTCTCCAAAAGCATCTACAACACAGCTACTCAGCAGGCACAAGAACAGACACAAATCAGTGTCTCCTTCAAGTACTGCCTCCACATGGGCCTACCTGAAACCCCAGCCCAAACGAACACAGGGAAGCAACTGACCACCCTGAGCAGGCCCGGGTGCTTGGAGGCCATGTTCACCAGCGGGGATGCAGTCAGGCTGCTCTTAAGAACAGCTTCAGGAAATGTTGGTCTCACCCACAGCGTAAAGCCAACATAATTAACATGCTTCCATAAACAGCATGGTAGCAATTACTGATACTGAAGGAGTAACAGCCAGAGTGGACTCTCAAGAAAACCATTCCAGCAGAGAAGTATATTGACTGGCAGAAATTAGCGAGAGAAATAGTAGAATAGCTCATACTGACATGAGCTCTTAGGCAGAAATTCTTCCCCTGCGAGGGTGCTGAGGTGCTGGCACAGGGTGCCCAGAGAAGCTGTGGCTGCCTCATCCCTGGCAGTGTTCAAGGCCAGCTTAGACAAGGCTTGGAGCAACCTGCTTTAGTGGAAGGTGTGCCTGCCTGTGGCAGGGGTTGGAACTGGATGATCTTAAGTTCCCGTCCAACCCAAACCATTCTGTGATTCTGTATCAGAATTATGGTTCGTATTAAAAGTCAGCCATAAAGGAAAATAACAGCTGAACTGCAGCACTACGTAGGAACATACTTGACAGCAAACAGATCAGATCTACTATTATTGAGAAATCTGTGTCATGATTGGGTTTTTTGTGTTTGAAAATATGGGAGATGTTTTTGAAGAGACAGAGGTCTAGGAGGAAGGAAAAGTGTCACTACACCCAGGAAACGTCACTAATCTGACACAAGGAGGTTCTACACCATTATGGGTTCAGCCATTGTGCCCAAAAAAGCTGAGAGTCCCTCATCTCCACAGCCTTTTGCTGCAGTTTCCCTGCTCTGTAGATCATAGACAAAACTAGAATCGTCATTTTAGATTTTTTCCACTCTTCTTTCATGCAGAGCTCTACTTTGGGCTGAAGTTTACAGGACATGCCTGTGACTCTCTTTGAAAAGGGCAGTTTTGAAGAAACTCATGGATAAACTTCACCAAGAGATTAAAGAAGAAAAGGAAAGCAACCACGGCAGGCAGCAAGCAATGCTACTTCCATGAAGATCAAGCCTGCACTCTATATTTATGCAATTGTTATAAGCAAATGAAACTGGAAAACAGCACAGAACCACAGGTTACAGACTGAGTTTTTGCCCGGGAAAGAGGCTGTAATTACATCTGGTCTCAATTGCCAGCATTATGAAACTCTTCTTTGTTTACCACACAAGGAAATATTTTTCAACATGTTCTGCTCTTTATGGCACACAGAAATCTAATGAAGCTGAAAGTTTATCCCAGACTTGCACCACTGTAACACAGCAGACTGGATGAAGATTCATAGGGGCATCCTCAGCTATGATGAATTTCAAACACTCCTTATCACTGAGCATTTTCATTATGCAGCAGCATGTTGATCATCCTCAGATAAAAAACTCCCAGCAACTCTGTCAAAGACTTTTGAGACATGTAATATTTGGAGAAGGGAAAAGCAGTTTACACAAAAACCACTCTCCAGATTTAAATTCAGCCAATACAGATTAAAGCACTCAGGATACACAACTTGTTTCTTCACAATACTGATACAGCATTTCCTCCTTAGCAGACTTACACTGGCTCTTTACACCTATGAAAGCGGCATTCACATTAGTCCCCAAAACCATGCTACATCATAACAGTTAAATATTCAATGAAGAACAGAACCAAGTAAGTTTTATTTATTGCAACTTCATGTTTCCAATGTCTAAACTTCAATCATGGCAACAGTTCATTCTTTAAAAGGAAAGTCAAAGGGCTTTGATTTTTTTGTCAAAGAATCAGTTCCCTCCAAAGTCATCCAGAGAGTGTCTAAATTATGAGGAAGTAAGTGTCTCAACAAAAATTTGTCTTTTAAAATGAAATTGTTAGATCAGACATTCTATGCAGAGGGAAAAAAAATGCCAAAAACTGTTTGCACGTTATTTCTCTATCTCCAAAAACTGCAACAATCCATGTAACACATTCCAGCTAAGAGAAAACTATTAAACATACATGCAAAGCCCCATAAACTTTCCCTATATTAGACCCTACTCCTGCTGAATTTTACAGAGCCATAAAACCCCTCTTAGCACAGCAACAGAATCATATAAAGCAAAGATATGCTTTGTTCACTTCCCGTCCCTGGGCATGCAAATACGATCCCTATTCCCTATCCTCTCTCTAAATAACTTACCAAGCAATACTGCAATTTCCCAGGACTCTCTTTGTGCATTCTTCTACTCTCCAAGGTAGCTTTAAATTCACTGGCTGACATAATGCTTACGAGTATTATTTTAAATACTTGGAGGGATGGGGCAGAAGTGCATTAGCAGAATGGGTATTTCACCACCTTTTATGGCTAGGGGAATGACCACAGGGGTTGTCCGAAATAAAGTTCAAATAAGGGGTGACTGAAAGCAGAATTCATGAAAAGGCTGAGGTCCAGTTAAAAAAACACTGCAAAACTAAGGCATGTGTCTACTGCTGTGAGACTGCTCCAAAAACAGATGACATGACTACAGAAAAAACAGTACATCTAGCTGAGGGGAATGCCTCCTTTCAGCCCTTTCTATTAAGGTTACTCATCACTATTTCTAACACCTCTCTACTTCCTCTCCTCCCATCTCTTACAGAAAGTCTGCCCAGCAAAAGTCCCATGATTTCTGCACAGTTACTGTGTGAGAAATCACAGAATAAAATCCCACCAGGTTACCTGTATGTCCCTGTAAATAACATTTCTGAAGAGAACACTGATGATACAGGATTGCCCAAAATACAACAGTTGGTATTAATCATAATACAAAATAGTTCACAGCTCTTCCCTTCCCATCCTGCAGTAAACAGCATTTTTAACATTTCTAACCCTGAACCAGTGTCCATGTTTGCTGCAGATTTAATTCCCAGAAAAATATTTAAGCAAGCTTACCATGCATACAGGCCAAGTAACAGCATATTCATTGAATGGTTTGGGTTGGGAAGAACCTTAAAGCTCACCCAGTTTCAGACCCTGCCATAGGCAGGGACACCTTCCACTAGACCAGGTTGCTCCAAGCCCCTGTGTCCAGCCTGGCCTTGAACACTGCCAGGGATGGGGCAGCCACAGCTTCTCTGGGCACCCTGTGCCAGCACCTCAGCACCTTCACAGGGAAGAACTTCTGCCTAAGAGCTCATCTCAATCTCCCCTCTGTCAGGTTAAAGCCATTCTCCCTTGTCCTGTCCCTACAGGCCCTTGTAAAAAGTCAAAGAATCAACTAGGGTGGAAAAGACCTTTAAGATCAAGTCCATCTGTTACCCCAGGGCTGCCAAGTCCACCATTAAACCATGTCACTAAGGGCAAACAGATCTTCCCTCAAGATCTCCCATCCTGATATCCACTCACAGAGACCCCCTCAATCCCCCCACATAGTTACCCACACTGTATAGCTGCCACCCCTATCCCTCATGGCCCCCCCTCACCTCCCACTGGCCACCCCTCAGGCCACCCCTCAGGCACCATGGCTCCCCCCCCTCCCCCCTAAAGATCCCCCCTCATGATCTCCCCTCATGGCTGCCCTTCCTTTCCCCTCATGGCTGCCCCTCTTCTCCCCTCACAATCTCCTCTCACCCTCAAGGACACCCCTCCTCTCTCTGCATGATATTGCCTCACTCCTCATGGCTGCCCCTCCTCACCCCTCATGGCCGCCCCTCATCTTCCCTCACAATCTCCCCTCACAACTGC